GATCGATTCTAACGAATAATGTTGTATTGGAAGAAAATGTAATTGTCAACAAAGGATGTTTACTCACCTATGATGTAGTTATTGGACCTAATATCACTCTCCCCCCATACACGAAACTGACCAAACATAAACAAACTTCAGAAAATGATATCGCGATTTAGGTGAAGATGAGAGTGTGGATCAGAAAGCTGCGTGTGAGTAAAATTTAAATTGAAGTTTAATTATAAAAGTTAAAAGTATACTTATTCATCATTTATCGCGTTCGTTAATTCCAGCTTATGACATTAAATTAATTGGAGCAAATGGACGAGGACATTTATGGAATGATGAGATGTCCGATGTAGATGATGATGAGGCTAAGAATATTAAAGTTGCAGCCCTAGGTAAGTCAATTAAAGCATAATACTTTCATTTTGCGTTATATCAAATCCCAATATTATATTTTTTTTTAGCATTTGATATATCCAATCTGACGCTCACTGATAATGAGTCGTCAGCATCTTTGATAAGTGATGGGTCTTCTGAAGAAGAAAGTGATTTTGATGAACCAACTACTTTAGAAGTTTTCTCAAAGGAGGTCACACAAACTCTCGAACGTGCATTTTCAGAAGGTCATACCGTAGAAATAGCGTCTTTAGAGTTAAATACTTTGCGTATGGCTTCAAATACTACATTTCACGATACACGAACTGTGGTAATACCAACTATCTTTGACCAAATTAATACTGATAAATTGTTATCTAGCACCAAAGACGTGAGTAAATCCGTATATATCGAAATAATGTCGTTTATTAATATATTTACTAAACACTTTTTTTTAAAAAAAAAATAGATATTATCTCGTTGGGGATTACTCATCGGGAAATTAGTTCATTCTAAAGCTGATCAGGTCGATGCTTTATTTATATTACAGGTACATTATCTTTTTTCTTCATTATTTGCATGAAACTTAACTAATTATATTAATTTATATTTAAGGAATTTTGTGCGAATTCAGATATCCTTAACAAAACTTTCGCTCCTTCGCTTCGAATATTATATGAAATAGATGTGATAGGAGAAGACGCAATTTTAGAATGGTATTATGATGAACGTTCTAATGGAGGCGTTGTAAAACAAGCTTATTCTAAATTACGTGATGCGGTATATTGTTGATTTAAATTATTATAAGATTTTTTTTTTTTTAATAAATGAAGTTGTTAACAAGCTTTAATTTAGATCGCGCCTTTTGTTAAATGGCTTGAAGAAGCTGAAGAAGAAAATTCTGAGGACGAAGAAGATGATGATGATGACATATAGATTTGTTAATATTAAATATTTATATACATTCGAAAAATTTTCAAACAGTCAATAAATTTGCCTTGAAGTGAACTGTCTTCTTTTATAATAAATTTTATTAATTTATGATGAGTTCTTTTTTTTTTT